AGACTGCTTTGAATGTAACCACAATTCTCTATTGACTTACCAGGTTCTAGACTGATTTGAATGTAACCACAATTCTCTATTGACTTACCAGGTTCTAGACTGATTTGAATGTAACAACAATTCTCTGTTGACTTACCAGGTTCTAGACTGATTTGGATGTAACCACAATTCTCTATTGACTTACCAGGTTTTAGACTGATTTGGATTTAACCACAATTTTCTATTGACTTACCAGGTTCTAGATTGATTTGAATGTAACAACAATTCTCTGTTGACTTACCAGGTTCTAGACTGATTTGGATGTAACCACAATTCTCTATTGACTTACCAGGTTCTAGACTGATTTGGATGTAACCACAATTCTCTATTGACTTACCAGGTTCTAGACTGATTTGAATGTAACCACAATTCTCTATTTACTTACCAGGTTCTAGACTGATTTGAATGTAACCACAATTCTCTGTTGACTTACCAGGTTCTAGACTGCCTTTGATATAACCACAATTCTCTGTTGACTTACCAGGTTCTAGACTGCCTTTGATATAACCACAATGCTCTGTTGACTTACCAGGTTCTAGACTGCCTTTGATATAACCACAATTCTCTGTTGACTTACCAGGTTCTAGACTGCCTTTGATATAACCAACAGTTGTATATGTGTAGTTTCGTCTCTGTACATTATGTACTTCCAATGTAACATAACTAAAATAAAAATAATAATTAAACCAGTGATAATTATATTATCATTTAAAAGTACCAATGCAGTGCATGAGATTATATTTAATTTAACATAGTATTTTACATGACTGTGTTTTATGTTGAATGGAACCAAACATAACATACATGTATCAGTCAATGAAAAAAATGTCAATGAAAAAGTTTTTTATTTGCAGTATAATACTCTCATACAAACATTTAATTTAATTATTTACATTAAACCCAATTGCTATACTTATGGTGTTACAGTGGTCACAATTGTTTGCAATATTGTTTCATTACAATGCAATATTGGGCCATGCACAATTAATATAATGACTGACACTCTGCTTTATATTACTCTTCAATTAATCCATAATTACATTATAATGCACATTGTTAAATATGTGTTTTTCTACAATTCTATGTTAATTTTGTGGCAAATTTTTAAAAGCCTGGATAAATACATTATTGAAAAATATAATTAAAAAAATATGCAGGATGATTAATTGAAAGGTAATAAAAGACGGGTTAGAAATATTTGGGTGTAATGAGAAGTTTTTCATACCTGTTATTCTTCATTTGTGGCCCAATATTATAAACAGTGTCCAGTTTTCCCTGCCATGATGCAGGTGCCTTATCACCATCTATTTGCCTTCAAGTGAACCAAAATAACATTGATTGTTTTATATATGCTATAAATACGTCATAGGTATTTTCCATTCACTTGCAAGATCTCATATATTGAATCAAAAGTTCTGCCACAAAAATCCATCTTTCAGAGTTACCCATCCATATAAAATTGACCATCATCAAATGTAAATATAGCACATTATTACACATAAAATACCCCCAAACTACTTTCACTTTCCCCAAACTATGTTGAATCCAATGCACCACTACGATGATATGACCTTTTCTGTTCTTTTACATTCAATTTCACACATAATGCAGGATCTCACTTTCAACAGAAATTCATCTTGACCAATTTAGATTATTCATTTCTAGCAATGGTAGCAAATTATATCACCTCAATATCTCTACAGCATCATTATATCCAATCGGGTGTACCGGTATATTTGGCAATCCATCTATATCTCCTTCTTCTCTATAAGCACTATCTAGAAGGACAGAAAATAACTATAGCAGATTCATGGAAATACACAAAACAAAATGATCGATGGCCATCATGCTACCATCGTGTCAATCATAACTCAAACCAAAGTTGTGTGCCATGCTGTTATAGTTTGTGATTGGTCCAGGACCAGTGTACGTGTCCTCTAACAAGACTGGGCATGATTGGAAATCTTCAAAATAAAGTTGAAGCTTGTTAAGGAGGTTTGTCTTCAAGAAACAATAAGTAATTACATTACGTAGTCCCCCATGAGTTCTCAAGGTGTTTCTCAAGACATATATAAAGTTTGAACATGAACAAGAAAGAATGACAGGAATCCAATAACCAAATGAATGAATAAATATGTACATGACTGGTCAGGTTCTTGAACCATACAGCCATTTTGAATCTGATCTCAAAAACAGAATGACTTGTATCTAGGTGCTATAATGTCTGATAACTGTATCAAGTTTGAAAAAATCCATCAATACACAACTAAGATCCTGCTCTGCAATGGCAGAAATGTCTGATTATGATGAATTTTTAACATTATAATGGTCACTATTCATTCATCTTAAATTAAATTGTTCAATGCATACATGTATGTGAGACATAATGTATGATATATATATAAAGTTTGAACATGGCATGGCAGAAAAAAGGTTCTGGAACAACATTTCTTAAAACAATATGGCCACCATGAGTAGGCCATTTTGAATTTGATTTGATCAAGGCATCTGTAATTCAGTATGTACATGTACGTTCAGCTGTGAGAAATGATTCCAGACACATTTACAGACTGCTATTTTTGGATTTTAGACAAAATGACCATCAATGTGACAAATTTGATCAAGTCACACAAAATCACACAATCTACGGTATTTATGTGCAAAGTGAGGAATTGGCATGAACATGAACAGAAACAAAATAGCCAACTTGTACCTGTAACTCCATATGCATCATCATAACACATAGTCTGAATGAAATCACCCTGTTTATCTCCAAGGAACGACCCCAGACATGTTTAAGTATCAGAATTTAGCAATTTTGAGGACCAAAATGGCTGCCAGTCAGGCATACTCAATGAAAATTGATGTGCATATATAAGTCATCATATATGTGTCTCTGTGCTAAGTTTGAATGTAATAGGTCAAATAATGTTGGTTATTGGATTGGATTGGCTATGGAAGCACAGATAGACTAACGACAAGACGAAAGCTAAATTAATAGTTTGCAGGGGCTAACTTGTTCATCGCAGCAAATATTTGTGCATTAGCGGCACATCATATTGGCTAGAGGGCACACGTCTGTTAGGTTAACCATTAGAAAATCATTGATATGCACTGTATTGACCTATCACTAAGCTTTAAATTTATCGTTGCTATGTTTTTTTCCTTTTGTTACTTTAAACAAACAAGTGACAATGTCACATTGTGTCAGAGTGAATAAAATTAGCAAATAGCTAGATCATTTAATAATGTAACAATACTATACATAACTAACCTAATGACGGATAGCCTGGCGTAAGTGGATCACCACTATTTATCCATAATGTGCCTCTCTGTACGCCTGTGCCGGGCAACCACCAGGAATCTGGATAAACATCAGTAGCACCATCAGTAGCATAGTCAGCAGGATCGGAATATAAAATCATACCTAGAGCACCAAACATCTCAGCATGTTTCACCTTTATAAGGAGTATACATGTATGTGATATGTCAATATAATGTTTAGTTGTTATATCAACATCTAGCATGTGGAGTGGAGTGGAATGGAGTGGAACAATTAATTTGTAATTTCAGTTATTTCCACTGTAAACAGCAAACCTAGGTCCTTCTTTAAAGAAAGCTTAGATTCTAATCTAAAAGAATTTGCCGATGAAGTAGATGAAGGAGACTACTACAATAGAAACAGAATGAAATGATGCCTGCCAGTTGACCATCTTTGATCCAATTGCGAAATAAATCATCATGGACATGTATCCTAACATGTATAATCTATGTACCAAGTTTGAATGACAACTGACAAAGCATGTCCAAAATACAACATTTTCAAAAAACAAGATGGCCGCCAGTCGGCCATTTTGAATCAAATCGCTAAACCACTGCATGTGCATATGTCCCACATAAGGTACTAGGCACATGCAAAGAATGAACGGAATCGGTCCACAGAATTCTGAAATATGACTCTGGACATACTGACGCACGGACGAACGGACACACGGACAGACAGACTCAGGAACTCACGGACAGTCGGGGACATGTATCCTAACATGTATGATCTGTGTACTAAATTTTAATGAAAACTGGCAAAGCATCTTCAAAATACAACATTTTTAAAAAACAAGATGGCTGCCAGTCAGCCATCTTTGATCCAATTCTGAAATAAATCGTCATGGACA